CGTGCTGGAACGTAGCAGGGAGCAGCAGTTCAGGAAGTAAGAGATGTTCTAAAAGAGGCAAATTTCGATGCGCTTCTCGCTACATTCCGTTTAAAGATATCATCTCCAGGCCGGAAGCAGCTATTAAGCATCTACCGAATGAGAACGCAGAAGGTGTACGAATCGAGACGACCAATATCCTCAGGAAGACAAAGTCTTCCAGAAGCAACCTCACGAGTATGAAACACTGGAACTGCGAAGCCTAAACAGAGATGAGGGTACTGTTATACTCCCAGCCGACAAAGGAAGCGCAACCGGTCTTCTGAAGACCGAGGACTACGACTGAGGAACTCTTGGACCTAAAGTGCTAGAAACCCTTGAAGAAAGATCTAATGCAAGCAAGACTACGCTTTGTTAACCGACTCATTAAGTCATCATTCCTACCTGAAGACTTCCAAATGCGTATTCTGAGAACACATGTTGTTTCACTGAGAGTGTATGGATTACCCAAGATCTACAAGGCTAATGTTTCTCTGAAACCGATAGTAAACGCCTCCGGATTACCAACATACTACTTAGCAAAACACTTGACTGTGCTGCTCCTTCCTCATGTGCGACTGAGTACCAATTACATCAAAGATTCTACTGATTTTGCATGCAAAATCCGAGACATCAACACTGAACCAGGTGATATCCTTGTAATCGTCGACGTCGTCTCCCTGTTCACAGGTGTCACTGACAGGGTGTCTTGACCTAGTGACTAAGATCTTCCCTACCGACATCAGTAAACTCATTGAGGTTTGCTTCATTGGAAGCTATTTTCTGTGGAAGGGGGACTTCTTCGATCAGGTAGATGGGGTAAAGAAGTCCAGTCACAGCCAATCTGTTCATGGAACACTTTAAGAAGAAAGCTATAGAAAAATAGGAGTTCAAATGAACTGCTTGATTCCGATACACGGATGAAACCTTCGTAATTTGAAGAAGCGGAATGGAAAAGTTGAATCACTTCCTCCAACACTTAAACAGATAACACCCCAGCATACAGTTCACCGTGGAGACTAAGAGGGACCAAAAGTTACTATTCTTGGACGTACTAGTGAGGAAACAAGGCAACAAATTAGGCCACACGGTATTCAAGAAATCTACACACACGGACAGGTATCTGCACGCCTTATCGAACCACTCAAGTCAGAAGTATAACATCATCAGCACCCTGACTGAATAAGTTAGAATTGACGAAGAAGATTCAGCAAACCATCAGATCAGCTAAGGACAAAAGAGACCCTTTTTAGCCTCAGGAGTCTACTGTATACCCTGTTCCTGCGGAAAGGTCCACATAGGAACCACTAATATATCGATGAGAACGAGACTCAAAGAGCACAAAGACACTGAAACGTTGGCTGTGTTCGAGTACGCACTGAGCAATGGTGACAAAATATTCTTGGAGAACTGCAAATTGCTAGTTTCGGTCAATGGCAATGGTTAGAGAGGCCATCAAGATCCAAAACCATCCGGAGAACTTCACAAGAAGGAAGAAATCCTCAGACTCAACTAAATCTGGAATCCGATCCTCAGGAACGTTCGAACGGTACCGACCGCCATGCCATGATTGACTGATTTGGATCAAGCCCCCCTATCCCACTATCATAAATATATCTTGCGCAGAAGAAATCGCCCGGGACTGCTCCCTTCCCCACCGCCTTTGTTCCGCACTAAACTATCCCTGGTTCGTCCCCACCAAATTCTGAAAGAAACCGGTTTACCTTCTCTCCCTGAGGTTGCAATCTCATTCGCAGCAAATCTCCGAGCCTCAGTGTTAGGCCATACAAACCTCACCATTTTGACGCTGTCTAACTTCGCTTCGAAACTAAACGATCGTTTCCGAAGGGCCTGTCATCTTCTACAATGAGCCACTCCCTTCACTCACTCCTAGCTTTGCTTTTTAGCGCGAGTGTCCACCCATCACTTCAGAGATGTACCACCTATTTCGACGGTTCTCCCCCAACCCCCCACGCTTGATCATTTTCCCTTCCCAACCCTCTCCGAAATCTCAACCTTCCATTCTCTTCCTGGGGATGAGTAACCTTCAGGGTTTATCTCCCCACTTGAGGAGGGGTTTTAGCCTGTAAAACTCCAACACTACCTCCCTTCAGGGGGTGTCTTTTGAAGATTTCCCCTCCTCGAGAATATTCTAAACAAAAAAAATAAAAAAAGAGAAATCACCAGTCCGCGACCAGCATCGGAGATGGAAAGACCTCTGAAAAAGCTCGTCACTCATGCAAGCGAAACGTTAGGAAGCAACTCCAACACATGATGGCTTTACACCCGAATCAGAACTGCATCAGTTTACCAACTGGCCGCGAATGGCTTTACAAATTTAACAAACAAAGAGCTTCGCAAATTCGAAATTGTCTCTTGATTTTAAATTTATAATAAACACTGTTAATTCGATTCTCACGTTTATTATTATACAAGGTGTGTCTGAAATAAGTAGCAAGCTTGCAATAGGTGATGGGGCACTATGAAACACGAAAAGTAAGTAAATGTTTGGTGTTCCGAAAGTCCACCGTTTTCGAGAAAAACGTATGTGAAAGTACAGGGAAAGGCCAGTCCGGCCCTGATAGAATTACGCAGGGAACTACAACAATTGAACGCCGTATTCGTACTCATTGTCTGTAATTTGTTAGATTAGATTACATGTGATTTACGATGTTTATGTCACAACTTGTCTGGAGTAGCCCTTTATTCTTTTAAAATTGTAAACGTGCATGTACGTTTTCAGACGAATTGGTGGTAGGTAGGTCAACGTGCCAAAGCAAAGGTCAATAACAAATAACAATCTCAAAGGTGGTGTGGAAGTTTGCCTTACAATTAATAAAATGACAATTACCTATCCATAGGGTATTAATTAACCTGTTGATGTTTACGTGTGTTCTTAATAGCATGTTCAGTGTTACGAGAGTTTTTTTGTTTTTCATCAGGTTTCTGTTTGTCGTCGGGGTTTCTTTTGTAGTCAGACTTTTGTTTATCGTCTTCTTTAGTAATTGTTTCGCGGCATTTTTTAGCCTCGTCTTTGGGCTGTTCTTCAACTTTATCAGTTGTTTGTTTGTTTTTATCATAACTTTGGACTGTTCGTTCTCTTTAGCGGTTTCTTTTCTGAGAATAGATTTTTTCTTGGTCGGCGGTACTGGAGGAGCAACTGTTTCAGAAACATTCGAATTGTCATTCTCTGTGCGGTTTGTTTTATCGGCATTTTTTTGTTATTAGTAATTTAGCTTTTATTATCCTGTTGATCGAATTTATCTGTTGGTGCTTTTGTTTCGTTCGCTTTAATTGCATATAGTTCCGGACTTGGTGGAATTGGACTTGGTGCTTTTTCGTTGCGAATATTTNTGTCGTTTAAGACTTACCAGAAAGCCACTGAAAATTTTCAAGAATCCACATTGTGCTGATTATTTATAGTTATTTTATTAATAATCGAGTCTTATCTGGTAATTTTAACCGAACAAGCTTTCACAGCAGACGAGAAGACTAGCCGGGTTATCAAAACGAAATGCGCTTTCGAGTTGGCAAATCGCTTATCGTAAATGTACTTACTCGAAGATATCATTTGCAAATAGTCTACGACTAGGTCGAGCCTTTTGTGTTCTTATCTCCCTAAGATAACTATTGCTATGCAGATAGTGTGGCCTGCATTTACCAGAAGTTTTGATCAAATTCTGGGAATACAATGAAAGGGGTGAAAAATCCTAAACGGTCTCTTTAATTTTAAATGTGCTCTTATAAGCATCACTTGAAATTATAATGCAAATTTACCTCGAAATGGAACCTTATTCTTTCGGCAACTGTGACACAGACCCATAAAATTGACCGTACTCCACAAAAGTATTAAAAAACCAAATTTCCACGTTAACAAGTTTGCAGGTTGGGTATGATGTCCGAAAGGTTTGGTGGAAATAGCACATTGACGATATAAAATTTTGGTTACACTTTACACCACTAATCACAATTAATTATCACGGATTCACTGCAATCGGCACCGGTAGTGTACCCAAAACTGATTTTGACCGTTTGGTTCTTAAAAGACGTATTACACGAGTTGTTACAGGTACATTAAAGAACTACGAGGTTCGGTATGTTCATTGTTGTCAGCCAGTGCTAATCACAATAAGTTTTTGGTTGGCTAGGTTTCTCATGCTTACGTTTTACTACCAATTCGATCAAATTAACGTAAATATTCGAAAGTAAAACGAAAGCTAATCATATCGTTGATCGTCTTTGTTTTACCGAGCACCACACATACTTTCCAAACCGAACCGTGCAAATGACTACTGCTAGTACCAACATAAGTGTGTAGAGGACGCTTTTGTAGTCATTTAATGGTGCCTCAGAAACCAAGGTCGATTAACATGTCGTTTATTTTTACTAATCTGTAATACTTGCAAAGTGCTTTTGATAAGACTATTAATAACTATTTCATTCTATCTGTATATTTTATGTAATGTTGAAAGCTTTATTGGTACTTATAAATATCACAAAACTAAACGATTTATAAAATAGAATTAGTGGTTACTTTTTATGAACAAATACTTAGATTAGAGATTTATAACGGCATCTACAACAGTATGTATTTCTCTGATGTATAAATAAATAGAACTATTCACGAACACTCAAATATTAGAATTTCCTTTAAAATAATTTCTGCAAATAAGATAGAATTCTGCAAGACCATTTAGTAGATTGTTGTAACAGTTATGGTGTACATAAGTACAAAAAAACTACCTGTTTGGGTTTAATATTAGTTGAAGATAAATATAATAGAATAAATTACTTGATGGAACTGACTGGTTAATGAGATTTTAACTAAAGTAAAATTTAATCCTTAAAATCATAACTTAGGGAACTTCCTTAGTATAGTTTGGCTATTCTCCGATAGATGGCTGATGAATACTTAAACAATGAATTATGTAAAACAGAATTATTTGTTATTACATTGCATTAGTCGAATTTAAAATAAACAATGGGTTAAATGTTTTCATTATTATGGAAAATAAAGTATACAGTGTAGTCCACTGATAAGGTGTGAACTGATCAATTTTTCTTATCTTCCTCTAGCCCTTCCTCTATTAAAGGATCCTCTTCCTCTGTTACCTGAGCTACCTTTTCCCTTAGGTGGAGGGCTTTTGGGACGAAGAGCTTCAATCCTATCTGTACAACCTGTGGTAATATTACTGGCATTGAAATAACTGCTGTATGTTTCAGCATTAAAATTACTATTTGTGAGTTCAGGCCCTATAGTAAGCCAACCAGGTCGGATGGTACTATCTCTACCAAAAATATGCAATCTACGCCTGCCCAAACAAAAATGTTCTATAATATGAAAAATTTCAACCGGTTTTTCCAAACTTCCATATTCTGGTTCTTCAGAGATTATTAGATCTATATCAACATTTGCATGAATAAAATCACCATCGGTTGAACGTCTTACAGTTCCTTTAATTCCCATTAGACAGTGTTCTTTAGTGCGTTGAAATACAGCCCTGGGATCTAAATTTTTTGAGTGACCAGGATTTTTTATGTTTGTGCGAATCCAACAAATATCTTCACATCTGCAATTTTATTGTTAATTAGTACATTACTAGATACTAAGTTACTAATATTATAAATACCTTCTAAATCCCCATTTTCTTAAACAAATTCTTCCCATATCAAGCCCTTCAGAGCTACCACACCATAAAAATACAAAACTTCTTTGTGCAGCAACTTCTCCAACATCTAAATTCATAATTTGATCCCATGTCCAGAATTGAATGTTTGTAACGCCCATAGTACGTTGATATTCTTCTAATGGTGGTTCAATTAAAATTACATCAAATTTACTGTTTAGATTCTTAAGATCATAATTAGTGAGATCACACTTAAGATACATAGGTGGTGTTGCTGTTTTAGAAATAAGTTCATCTTTTAGCTTAATAAGTTCTCTTAATTTTGGATACTCTTCAAATCGATCAGCCAGACCAACATCTCTAATAAAATTCTGAGGCCTCTGACCAGTATCAACAAAATGTTGACAATAATCATTGTGAGGATTTGAAGACTGAGTACCCTGCAAATAAATAAATATGAAACTAAAACAAATTAGTTTCTTGATGAGATATTAAAACACTTCATACCTTCAAAAATGTTGATGAATCTCTATAAATGAGTTCATCTGTGTTGCCAGCTTTCCCTTCATTTTTTTCACCTGAATCGTCCCCTTTTTCTTTCTTCCTTTTAGGAACTTCTGTAGATGTTCCAAGAACTTGTCTTAATTCTTCTACTCCCGAAACTCCTAACTGGTTATAGAAAAATCTGATAATTTTAATTATAAAAGCCGAAGCGGCTTTTTCTTCCTCACCGTTTGTGCAAGCAGTTGTTTTCTTTTTTTAGATCTCTCTCGAAGTTCTTTAAGCATATCACCCATTTTCCATGCAATTAAACAGTACCGGTGTTTTAAATAAAACCACACACCACTGTTAATTAAATTATTTTCTTAAATTTAGCATTTTTGAGTTTTGACATAACTTTGCGCATAGATTAAAACTTTGCGCATGTTTGGAAATTTGGATTAGTGCCTGTTACAAGGGTTTATTTAGCCTGCTCAAACCCAATACATTAGTTCATCGGCTCATACAATCATCCTAAGACTGGATGGAAACGTATCTCCAATCAATACACCATTATTTACTACTCTGAGCTCCTACCAATCTATCTCGCCCATTTGTTATTGACTTCCATAGCGCCCTCTGTTCTCCTACGCTTTATAAAGCTTTAGAATGCCTCCTCATTTCTAACCTTTACTATCCGTGATATCCTCATCATTCGCATGTAATACATTTCGAGCGCTTCTAACCGTTTCATTACAGCTTCGCCCACCGTCCACGTTTCGCACCCGAACAAGGCCAACTCCAGACATACACCTTTAGCAATCTTTTTCCAATTTCTGAATTAACCGTTAGTGAGCATAGAAGTGAGTTCTTTTTGTTAAAGGCGACTCGACCCTATACTATCCTTAGTTTAGTCTCTGTACTCCTATCAGTATTTTTATTTTACTTTTTTTTTATACAATACTGTTTTGTCAGTACCTACCGCTTCCATTTTATGTAAGGCTATCTATAACTCCTCTCTTTTAGAGGATAGTACTACTATAGGTATCATCTGTAAATCTAAGCATATTACCTAATTTTTTTGCCCCTATATGTTTATCCCTAATGTTGTCCTGTCTTTAATGATGTTTATCGTATTTTCAATAAATAGATAAAAAAATAGCGGTGAAAGTGTGGATTGGTGCCTGTATCCCTAATATTTACTTATCTACGTTGCTCCTCAAGTTCTATAACTGCCCGTTACTCTTTATACAAACTATATATCACTCTTCTATCTCCGTATCTCATTCCTATATTTTTACGTATATTTAACATCTTGTCCCTTTTAACATTCTCAAATGCTTTTTCTAAATCCACGAATTCTATATTGACCCTCTTTCTTTTTTTTATTATTTTCTCTATTATTAGCCATACAGCTGAAATGGCCCCCCGCGTTCCACTATTTCTTCTTCTCAAATTAGTTCTTCCATCATGGTAGTTGTTCTGCCCTTTTTCCATTGTTCCCTGTACGATTCTAATTAAGATTTTTGTAGCATGGGAAGTTTTATTGTTCCGTATTTCCCGCATTTACCCGCACCTGTCTTTTAATTATGACTACTTCCCTTTATAGTCTTTAGGGACTTTATCTGTCTCGTATATATGAGTATCTAGGTGTGGAATTTAGGTACGTTTTAATTTAGTTCCATTCTGTCTCTTCATCACTGTCATTCGTTTTTCCCGCCTCCTTTAGTATTTCATCTGTCCTTGTACCTACCCTGACACGCGTTTCGGTACATTTTAGTTGTTTGTTTGTTTTAGTTTCCTACCTTTCCTCTTCTTCATAATTTTGAATTTAAGATGGTTTTTTTTAACTATTACGTTACGATCGCTATTAATATTTGCTCCTGGATAACTCCTACAGTCCTTCCCTAAATCACTTGGCGTCACCCACATATAACACCTGCTAATGTGATGACCAAATCAAGCATTCCCTACAGTTAACTTAGTCTATCTTCCCTATAATTTCTATTTCCTAATCCAAAAGAACTTGTTACAACTTCTTACAACTATTTTTTTTAGGTTTTCTGTCCTTTAACTAAACACGTCTTCTGTATCTGCGTATACCGCTTCTTCGTTTTCATTATTGTAAGATGACTTAGGCATATAGACCTGCACTATTATCGTTTTTACCAGTTTCGAATTTAATTTAATCATAACTATGGTATATATTATTCCACTCCACTTCGGAAGCTTCTGATTTCTTGCCAACAGACTTCATTTATACATTTGTACCTAATTTTAGACTATATCAACTTTTAAAATATTTAACTTGCCTCAATGTTTTAACGTTCTATGCTCCGACTCGTAAGATATAAGTTGCAACATTCCTTATTTCACTTTTTGATACATCCCCCGAGGTGGTTCCCGCTCAAAAATCCGAATGGGAAACTACTTTACATCCGGAGTATTTTACCCAGAGGACGCCTCGTTTATCTTTTAGAGTTATAAAAGTAAGTTGTACTCGGGATATCATAATGTGGTATCCTGTTGTCTTCCACATCCTAGTATTGTGCATAAGAGTGCCGATCCTCGTGATCTCTGTCACCCCGAGTATTGTAGCGATTACCACTTAAAGTTGTTGCCAATTCTGACTGTGGGAATAAGTCAGCGTCTCGCGATGTCGGGCCTTTATTAAACATAAGCCACGCTACGCGTGACGGCATGAACGAGAACTAGAGCTTTTTATTGATTTAAACTCACAGATGACAATTGGCATTTAATGGTATCCGTATCCATGACCGTTTGATTTGTAGTATATAATAAACATTGTTAATTTGACTTTTACATTTAATTATTATTTTTTGATGATGACACCTCAACTTAAGGCGACTATTTACTTACAAAATTTAATATCGCATAACTTACAGTCGGAAGTCACTTTTTGAACAATTTCAACTTGCCTCCAGGTATACGGCAAAAGCNTATTCGCGGATGCAATCGGTAAACAGAAAAGGATTCGGTGTCATTTATTAAGGGGATTGACTGCAATAGACCGCTCGTGCCTAGTGTGAATTTTTCCGAAAACATGGGTTTCTATTCTAAACATTGTGATTTAACGCTGCGAGATAAATATGTGATTTTTTGTATAGTAACAAAGGTTCACACTAACTCGGTACGTTTTTGGTTTTCTGTAATATGGTCATTAAAAGCTTTTTCAAGTATTTAATGCTGATGTTTATTGTAGGTCACGTATTTTCAATAGAAATTAGAAAAATGAAAAATGGCCTTCAACATGCTTTAGAACAATGCTTAATCTATCTTAGCACAAAATTTGAAACCTCTGTTCCAAACATTAAACTCATGATATCTAGAACCGATAAGCATGTTTTTACTCTATGGCGCATGTACTACTGAATCCCCTTAATGTATCGACATCTTTTGAGTATGTACTGTTGGTACGTGCCGAGGTAACTTTTGTNTCGTGCCTAGCGTGAATTTTTCCGAAAACATGGGTTTCTATTCTAAACATTGTGATTTAACGCTGCGAGATAAATATGTGATTTTTTGTATAGTAACAGACAAAGGTTCACACTAACTCGGTACGTTTTTGGTTTTCTGTAATATGGTCATTAAAAGCTTTTTCAAGTACTTAATGTTGATGTTTATTGTAGGGCACGTATTTTCAATAGAAATTAGAAAAATAAAACATGGCCTTCAACATGCTTTAGAACAAAGCTTAATCTATCTTAGTACAAAATTTAAAACCTCTGTTCCAAACATTAAACTCATGATATGTAGAACTGATAAGCATGTTTTTACTCTATGGCGCATGTACTACTGAATCCCCTTAATGTATCGACATCTTTTGAGTATGTACTGTTGGTACGTGCCGAGGTAACTTTTTATAAAAGATGTAACCGAGTGGACTAATTCAAAATTCGAAACAAGAAAAAATCATTAAATTTGTTAAACCCTTGCTTGATTATAACGATTAACTTTAATTGCAAATTTCTCAATAAATTGATTTTATTCTGATACATATTGGTCTTATTTTGGAACCTTAGTACGTATCCCCTATGATTCCATACTAATTACCATTCCACATCCACGGTTTCTGTATTCGCGGCATATTTATGGAACGTATACCCCGCGAATAAAGAGCTTTTAATGTATTGGAAACATGTTACCAATAATGGAATAATAAAAAAACCCATTAGCTTAAATGTTTTACCAATCTTTTTAAGAGCATTTGTAGGTAGTATTCTATACTGTTTCGACTTATTAGGTCATTATCAAGGATTAATTAAAATTGTAATTTTGAGAGCTATGGTAGAGTATTCTAACATTATTTACGTTAAAATTATGGTTATTTAAAACACAATGTTATAAAAAATTCACAGACCTCGAACTTTAGGTACGTATCCTAAACGTATTGAAAATACTAGACACAGTTTCTGAAATTCTAACATTAAGTTCTTCAAGTGATATTTGTTGTTCCAATTGATCCTAGGTATTGTTACCATTATGATTCGTATTAGTGGACAAATTTAGAAGAAACGAACATTCGTAAATTAAAAAANTGTAAAACAATGCGATTTGGATTTGAAATTTCGGGGTCACTATTCATCCGTGTTAAGCAGTACCCCATAGTGACAATCAAATGTCTTTTTCAGGAATATCCATTAATTAAACGCAAACGCACGGCAAACAAACTTACTTAACATTACTTAAACGAGCCCAGATTGCAACGTTATTAGATGAGACTTAATGCATCGATATTGTTCATTCACCGCATGTTTATCCTTTATGTTCTTCAACGGTCGACCCCGATCAACTGTTAGATCTATCGATCGACGATTTTATTTTTCATGAGATAAATAAACGTTATACTTTTTCAGTATTAAAGCCTGTCTTCCATTTCTTGTCAAGAATAGATTTAAATTATGAATCTACACACAAAAGCATCTTGCGTGGAGTATATCTTAATATTCCTATACACCATATACTTTTTGTCGGCTCCATTCCAATTAAAATAAAAAAAAAAACTTTAAACACACTCTGAAAATGAAAAGATAATGACCGATAGTCTATATAATTTTCAAATTTTATGTTATCAATGTTTGGCATTTGACACTCTAGATAATTATATACTATCCCAACAATAGAAGCTATATGACAACCGCAGAAATGTAACAGGTTTTATTCAGTAATCCCAGAATGTCAAGGTAATGTGAGAAGTTCTCGGCCTGAGTGCACTTGTCATGTTTCCTGTCTACACGTGTCATTGGTTCGTTTCAACTTGTTTTCTGAAGTAATTTATTTACAGAAATTTGTACAATAGATGTCTTGCATGTTTTTCATTAAAATGGATAAACTTGAAAATTGCGCGTTCGTATAATTATTTGTTTTGGATGGAATAATCCCTATAGAAAATTATGCGAAGCTGACAAAAGTTTACGGGGACTACGTT